TTTTACTCCATTATATTATATAGGTCGTCTTTTAACATTCCTAATTGTTTCCTTTGTTGTGTAGAAGTTTGTAAATTTGATGCCATTCCATGTATTTATTCTTGGCATCATTTCTTGAGATTCAGGGATCTACTGAGAAAGTCGTCTTCTGCGCCTATACGCTGGAGTGTGAGCCTTATATTTTCTTCTAGGAGTTGCATACTTTCTGTTCTAACTACTAGGTTTTCAATCCATTTTAGGACGATTGCTGTGCTGGTGAGAGACAAGGCTCAACTCCATTCTCCTACATATGGGTAACTGTTTTTCCAGCATCATTTGTTTAAAAGGCTTCTTTTCTCCAGTCTCTGTTTTTGGTATCTTTGTCAAGGATTAGATGAATGTAGATGTGTGGAATTGTCTTGGTGTCTTCAATTCTGTACCACTGGTCTCTGTGTCTGTTTTTATCTGAATACCATATACTTTTTAAAAATTACTATAGCTCTGTACAGTAATTTGAGTCAGGTATCACAAGACCTCTAGCATTGCTTTTTGGCCTGGATTGCTTTGTCTATTCTGGGTCTTTTATTCTTCCTAAAATGAATTTTAGGGCTATTTTTTTCTATTTATGTCAAGAATATCATAGGTATTTTGAAGGAGGACTTAATTGAATCTACATATTGCTTTTGGTATTATACCTACTTTAATTATGTTACTCATTCTGTCTACCCATGAACAAGCGGTGTCTTTTCATTTCTGAAGTCATCTTCAATTTCTTTCTTCAATGTTCTATAGTTTTCATTGTAGAGATCGTTCACATCCTTGGTTAGATTTACTTCTAGGTAATTTTTGAGGCTATTGTGAATCAAATTGTTTTTCTAATTTCTTTCTCAGCAGAATAGTTATTGGTGTATAGAAAGGCCATTCATTATTTGTATGTTAATTTAGGAACCTGCTACTTTGCTAAATTTGTTTATCAGCACTTGCTAATTTTTCCTGTTTTTTATCATAAATGGGTGCAGAATTTTGTCAAGGCCTTCTCTTCTTCTATTGAGATGACTAAGGCAAGTAATGTGTGTCCTTCAGTCTATTTATGTGATGAATTATGTTCACTGATTGGTTTATATTAAACTATCCTTGTGTTTATGAAACAAAATAAACTTCTTTGTGAGGTAAAGTATTCTTTATGAGGTAAACTATTGTTGAACATGATTTGCTAATATTTTATTAGTATTTTTTCCTTTAAGTCCATGAGGGGTATTTTTCTGTAGTTTTCTTTCCCTGATGTATCATTATGAGGTTTTGGTGTGAATGTGAATATTGGTTTCATAGAATGAATTTGGAAGTACTCCACTTATTTCTCTTTCATGGAGTAATTTAAGGAGCATTGATGTTATTCTTTAAATGCATGTAGAATTCACTGAGAATCCATCAGGGATTCCCTTTACTTTGCTGGAAGGATTTTTCTATTGGTGCATCTATCTCATCACAGGTCTCTTTTTTTCTGTTTTCCATGTCCTCTGGACTCAGTTTTGGAAGATTTTTTTTTTTTTTTTTTACTTTTTATTTTTGGTTTAATTCCATCCAATGTCCCCAACTTCATAGCACCTGGGGAGCTGCGTAAAGTCTGGAAGATTTTTATTCAGCAGAAATGTCACAATTTGTTTGAGGTTTTTATAATTTATAAGAGTGTAAGTTTTCAAAATATTCCTGAATGATATGCTGGATTTCTGTGAGAATGTATTGATTTCTCCTTTTACATCACAATTTTGTAAATGTGGGCCTTCTCTATTTTGTTTAGTTAGGCTAGGGACTTATTAATAATCGTCACCTTTCAAAACTCCAATTCTTTGTTTCATTGATCCTTTGTATATTTTATTACGTTCATTGATTTCACCTCTGATCTTAATTACATCATTCCTTCAACTGGCTTTGGAATTGGTTCATTCTTCTGTTTCAAGGAACTTGAGCTCCATCATTAGGTCGTTTATTAGGGATCTTTCTGATTTTTCCTGTAGGTACTCATAGGATGAACTTTCCTCTTACAATTACCTTAATAGTGTCCCCAAGGTTCTGATATATTCTGTCATTATTCTCATTTGAGTCTAAGAATTTTTAAATTTCTCCTTTCATTCATTCTATTACCCATCATCATTCAAAAGGCATATTGTTCAATCTCCATTGTGTTTATATAGTTTCATAGGATTTTGTTTTGTTGATTTCTTTCTTTCTTTTCTTTTCTTTTGGGGGGTGGGTACACATCCCCAGCCCTATTTTGTATTTTATTTAGAGACAGGGTCTCATTGAGTTGCTTAGGGCCTCTCTTTTGCTGAGGCTGGCTTTGACCTCACAATTCTTCTGCCTCAGTGCCCAACCACTGGGATTACAGGTGTGCCCCATCCTACCTGGCTGTTTTGTAGATTTCTAATGTCATTCCATTATGATAAGATGCAAGGAAATTTTTTTTCATATTTGCTATTTTTTTTGTAAACTAGAATATGATCTATATTGCAGAATGTTTCATGAATCACTGAAAAGAAAGTATTTTCCGATCTTGTTGGATGAAATATTCTACAGATGTCTGTTAAATCCATTTGATTTGTAATATTTCTCAGGTCTAAAGAGTCTTTACTGAGTTTATGTCTGCATGGTCTATCTGATGGTGATAGAGATGTGTTGTAATCACCCAAATTATTATACTGGGGTCTATCTGATGCTTCCATTGGAGTAGTGTCTTTTTCTATAATTATACACACCCATGTTTGGGGCATACTATGGGAAGTTGTTCTCGCACGTGATTGGTCGACCTCCCTGACTGGGTGTGAGGTGCTCAGACCAGCTGTGTCAGAGCCTTCCCAACCCTTTCCAGGTGTGAGGGCTTGTCCGTGTGGGGGTGTGACTGACCATTGACCTGGAAACCAATCACTGACCCTGACCTTGGAATGCTGTCCCCATCGACCTTCATTGGATAGAATATTCCCCTGAAATTTTTGTTCCCCAATAAAAGCCCACTCTCTGGCTTGCTTCTTCCTCTCTCCTGCTGGTCTCTTGTGTAAACCTCGCTACCATGAGGTGCCTGGAAGCAGGAGCCAGGAGAAGCCATCTCTGAGCTGGGCAAGAAAAAGGTAAATTGAGTTTTATGGGTCTTTATTTTGATCTCACTAGTTAACTTCTATGTTTGGAACCTCTAGTATGAAGCTAGCATGCTGGTCGCGTGGCAGAGGACACATATTTATAATTTCTATCCTATTGGATTGTTTCTTTTACCAGTTTGAAGCAAAAAAAAAAAAAAACAGGTAAAGTATAGACATGTCAGAGAACCAAATGCTAAGAGCCCCACCAAAGGATATTCAAGTGTCGTTCACCAGACAGAAGGAAAGTGACCCCAAACAAAAGACCTAGATGTATGAAATGACTATGTGACAAATCCAAGCCAATGTAAAGCAAGATTTCTCAGTTAAAAGGCAGAATTAAAATAGACAACAAAAGAGACTAGGGTTGTGGCTCAGCAGAAGAGTGACTGCCTAGCCATGTGGGGCGCTAGGTAAGATGCTCAGCATCACATAAAAATAAATACATAAAACAAAGGTATTGTGGTAAAACTACAACTAAAAAAAAAAATAAAACAAAACAGACAACAAAAATATCCAGGGATCCTAGTTTACAAAAGATTACTGGTATTCTAAGGCTCTTGTTTTTGGAAGAAGGGTAAAGGTACCAATTTTAGACTAGTGAGTTATACGTATGTGTGATAATATATAGTCTAACAACCAGAAGGAAAAGAAACAGGATATATAATTTACAAAAAGTAGAGGAAGATAATTTAAAAATCCAGAAATATCTAAGAGAGAACAGAGAAATAAACTGATGCTAAGAGTTGGTTTGGTACCTGGAAAGAGCACAGAGTGCAAACCAAACCAAATCTGCCTGCACCTGGCTCTGAGGCTGGAGCTCTGGACAGTTCAGCCATCGGTCACTCTCTTTAAACTCAGTATCCCATTTGTGAAAATGGAGGTCAATGGGGTCAGCTCTCGAGGACTGTGGAGTCAGAAATGAGGCATGTGATTCCCCCAGCATCGGGTCTACACACCTTCAGTATTCCATGAAAGACAGGGGAGAAGAATGAGTGAGTGAATGAGTGACAGATCAAAACAGAGGGAGAGAACAAACTAAAAAATAACATGGTTTCGAGAATGGAAGTACTAGTGTTTCACTTCTGTTGTCTTAAAGAAGAAGTTAAGAGTCAGAGTCCACATTTTCTTCTTTGTCTTTATGAAGTGGCCTCTTACATTGTTTCCTAGTCTGACCTTGAACTCATGGGCTCAGGAGATCCTCCTGCCTCAGCCTCCTGAGTAGCAGGGAGGACAGGCGAGCATCTCTGTGCCCAGCTGAGTCAGCTTTCCTAAGCAGGGATGTGGGCAGCTGAGAAGCTCCTCAGCACACAGCTTGAGGGATCAGAAAGCACATTTAGGCTCTCAACTAAAGCACACCTGCAGGTGGGGCAGGCAACCTCTGGTCCACTTAGACAGATGGGGCCATCTTTGGCCAGCCCAGCGCCATGGCAGCCTCGGTTCTGGGTTCCAGTCCCCAAATTCCCCCATAGCCATTGCTGGGATACTCTGGGGACATCAGAGAAGACAGCTCCTTTCCAGGTAGGAGGAGATTCCCCGATCCTGAGGGGCCACTTCAATGCCTATAGAGAAGCCCCTCCTGACTCCCACCTTGGGGTCCTGTCCTCTGGTCCCCAGCTGAGACCTTCCTAGGTGCCTGATGTGCTCAGATCTGAACAGACTGACTTCGCCCCATCCCCCTAGCCGGTGGTCACTTCCTTTTCCTTCTTGGCGTACTCTGTGCGCTGCTCCTCTGGCTTGTTTCCCTGGCAACAAAGAAGCTTGCAGACGCCATCACCAAGAAGGTCCAGGTGGCTTGTCGGCTCTGCCCTCCTCCTGGAGCTGAGGGCGGTGGCCAGGAGCCCTCTGTACTCCCCTGTTCCACAAATGACTCACGACAGAGACACACAGACGTCTAGCTGGTCCCAGGTTGTTTAATAGGGGACAGCAATGGCCAAGATGAAGCTCAGCTTAAGGAGTCTCCTGCTGCCACCCAGTCGGGTAGGAAAGAGGTCCTTGGGGCAAGTCCAGCCCGTCTTGCAGCCCCAGATCCAGATCGTCCAGGTCGGAGGCAGTGGCTGCTGACCAGACACTGAGCAGCTCATCTGCCCTGGGAGGGAGGGGCTTCCTCTGTCACTTGGGGTTGCTCTCAAGCACCTGCCGGACCCTCTGCATCCCTGAGAAGGAGAAGTGAGGGCTGTGAGCGCTGGTGCTGCACAGGTGGGGACCAGCAAACCCTTGCGAGGGGCGGGGACAGGTGGCTGCTCACCCAGGCGAAGCCGCTGGGGCCTGTCTGAGAAGACCACGCGGAACCAGCCGGGCTCCTTACACTCAAAGGCCTTGCCGAAGGACAGCAGCACCTTATTGTCCAGAAAACGGCGCCACAGCAGCGTCTCCTCCTCAAAGGTGGCCTTGCGCAGGTACTGGAAAGGGGCGGGTAGAGGCTCAGGACACAGCGGAGACCCCCAGGGCCTGTCACCTGCTGGAGGAAGGCTTGTGCCCCGCCAGCCTGCACCCCAGCTCACCTTCCTCAGGTCAACCCAGATGAAGAAGCCTGCCCCACGATTCAGGAAGGGGACCCCTAGGGCCCTGAGCTCCTCCGAGACGTAGGTGTGGGCAGCCTTGAGCCGGGCAAGGTTTTCAGGCAGGTACACGCGGTTGATCCAGTCTGAGAGGGAGGATCAGGAGGGCGGGAATTCAGGGGTCCCTGTAAGGCGCCCCTCAACCCTGAGGCCTCCAGCTCCAGCCTCCACACGCCCAGTAGGAGCCCAGAGCACAAAGCCCCTCAGGATGCAGAGCAAACCAAAGATGTACCTGGTTACAAAGTGAGGCTTTGGAGCCACACAGACCAAGGGCCAGATCCCAGACAGGCACTGACAGATGATCACCCATCTATGTATTTGTGTGCCTACCACCATAGGCAAGATTAGGAACAGTTCCCTCACTCCAGAAAACACCCTCATACCACTTACAGCCTCTTTGGCCTCTGCCCCACAACCTGATCTGCTTCCATCACTCTAGTTTGCCTTTTGCAAAATGTCCAGGAAGTGGAACCTTACGGTATGTAATCCATTGAGACTAACTTCCTTCACCAGCCTAATACCTCCAGGACGAATCTGTGCTGTCGGGGATCTTATTGCAGAAGCACTTCATGATGTGGATGTGCCCATGTGGTGGTGTCTGTACCCACTCACTCAGGGAAGAACATCCAGATTGTTTCCAGCTCAATTTCCACGTGGGTTGTTGGGTGCATGTTTGTGCACTATCTAGAGGTGGGATTGCCGGGTGGTGTGGTCAGTGTTTTTATGAGAAACTGGCAAATGGCTGTCAAAGTGGCTGAACCACCTGAATCCCCAGCAGCAATGCATGAGAGTTCCAGCTGCTCTGCCTCCTGCTCAGCCGGTGATGTCGCCTGTGTTTTTAAAACTATTACATGTTACAGTGGAGGTGGGGTATCTGGTCCTTCTTTTCCTCATCTGTAAAATGATGAGGAAAATATAAGAATTTGAGCTTCTAGGGTCCTCAGGAGGGACAAATGAGATACAGCAAGAGCACCTGCAGGGCTCAGTAAATGGTGGCCATGAAGTCCTTTACCATCAGACTTCCCTTTCTGAACCTGCAAGCAGGATACAGCCACTGATCCCTGGAGCACCCGAGACAGACCATAACCCTCCCCACCCTCTTTCAGGGCACCAAACCCAGGCAGTCACCACGGTCCTGGAGCAGCTTTGACACCTGGTACTGGACCAGGCCACTGAGGCCGTGATAGCGACAGAGGGAAGCCACAGCGGTGGCCACATCCTGGTTTTCTGTATACAGCGTGCCAAAGCGGAGCCCGGACATCCCGAAGTCCTGCAAGATGAGACAGCCTAGGCTGTGGCCACCCTCCACAGAGGGAGCTGATTCCACCCACCTGTGTGCCTCCCATCTCTCTGACTCCCCGCAGCCACCCAGACACTCACCTTGCTCATGCCCCACAGTACGTGGGTCCTCTGGGGGTCGGGCAGCCTGCAGATGGCACAGTGTGGGAACAGAGTCAGCCAGAACCAGGGCACCCAGGCCCATTTCCACGAACAAATGAGGAGATGGATGGATGGATCTGGTCCTGGGTCCGGGCCCTGTTTCAATCTTTCAGAACCACCAATTCCTGTGCATCCTTTAGAGCAGGGTTAGCAAACAACAGCCTGCAGGAAAATCCACCTGGTATCTGTTTTCTTAAATAACATTTTATCAGGACAGAGCCATGCTCACTGGCTGACACAATGTGCATGACAGAGTTGAGTGAGAGGCCATGAGGCCTGTAAAGCCTTAAATTTATGTACCATCTGGCCCCTTAGAGGAGAAATTTGCCAACTTCTGATCTAGAATACAGCTCAAGTGTCACTTCCTCAAAGACCTCCTGACTCTCCCCAGCCAGTGGGGTACCCCTGCAGGTCATCCCAGAGCTCCCCAGAATTCTCCATTTAGCACTTGCCACCACCGAGGTCAAAATGACTACCTGAGTGTTGTGCTGCTAGGGTTTTGGGTTTTTTCAAAGGTTCTACATGGGAAGGGCCAAGGTCTTGGTCATTCACTGATGTCCCCCAGCACTAGCACAGGGCCAGGCACAGAGCAGACGTCCATAGATACTGTTCCCATGTCTACCCAAGGCTCATGGGCAAGTCTCTATTTTCTCTGTCTCACTCTCCTAATGCATAAAATGAATGGGAGTCACACTCCACATGCCATCGTCCTCTCAGAGCTTTTGAGACAAGTGACAGAAAGGCCACAACAGGGCTGAAAAGTCAGTAGGAACATCAGGAACTGTCATCCTGCCTCGAGGTCAGATTACAGACTTCACAGATGATCTGGTCCAAGTGTGTCAAAGGTATCTTGTTCATAAATTCTGTGCTCAGACCCAATCTAATGGATAAGGCCACTAATTTAAGTAGCACAAAATGCTTATTCGCTCCATGGATTCGAGGAAGGAAGGGAGGAGGCAGGGAGGGAGGGAGGGAGGCAGGGAGGGATGGAGGAGGGACCGCAGCTCCACTGGGCATGAAGGAATGGCCAGGCAGCCAGTTTCCCATCTTCCCTCTGGAGTCCTAGGCCCGGGGTTGGAGGTCTCAGGGTCTCCACAGAAGAGTCTCAAACCCACGGATGAAGCCCAGCCACCCACCTTCTTGGGGGCCTGAGGACCCCTTGGGTCAGCTAGGTGTTAGTAGCATTGCCCTGGCCAGGTCACACCCTGTGGGCCAGCCACAGAGAGGCCAGTGGGGCTGGGGGGTCAGCTCAGCCCAGGAGCCTCACCTTTCCAGGCTCAGGACACTGCGGAACTCCAGAGACTCCTGGAACACTGACAGCATGTAGATTTCATCCAGGATCACGTGCAGCGAGTGCCTGCCGCCAGGAGAGGGCGGGAGAGAGCTGGGCCACAGGTTACAGCCACATGTGCTCCCAGGGAGCAGCCTGTCCCAGCCCAGAGGGACCCGCCTACCCAGGGTGTCCAGGAACACCCTTCTGTTGCCTATTTTCTCAACCAGGAAGCAGCACTTACAAAGCAAAGGGGAGAGGAGCTTGAAGCCCTGTCAGGGAGAGCTTGGACCTCAGGGTCCTCCCTGGGAGGAACATTTAAGGATGAGGCTCAAGGCAGAGGGACCCACATTCAAATCTGGCCCAACCCTTGACGTGTCCACTCCAAGGCTCCCAGGGCTGGGGATCATGAAGTGTCTATTTCTTTCTTTTTTTTTTAATATTTTTTAAGTTATACATGGACACAAAATCTTTATTTTGTTTATTTATTTTTATGTGGTGCTGAGGATCGAACCCAGGGTCTCCCATGTGCGAGGCGAGCGCTCTACCCCTGAGCCACAACCACAGCCCCAAGTGTCTATTTCTTATGGGGTCGTTGTGAGGATTAAAAGAAACAGTAAGCAAAGGGCTGGGCCGTGCAGTGGGTGAAGCCATTACTATCACGTGGAAGACACGCTAGGTGCAGTGGCAACCCCTGTAATCCCAGCACCCAGGAGGCTGAGACAGGAGGAGGCAAGTTCAAGGTCCACCTGGACAACTTGGCCAGATCCTGTCTCAAAATAAAACTTTGAAAAGGGCTGGAATGAAGCTCAGTGGAGGAGCACTTGCCTAGCATGTGTAAGGCCCTGGGTTCAAACCCTAGCACCACCACTACAACAAAAAGCCTAATTTTAAAAATAAAATGGAACAGAGAGAAATGGCATCCAGCAAAGCCCTACCCTCTCACTGCCGCGCTGCCAGCGAGAGGCCAAGGCAGGTAGAAGCCCGCGGTGGGGTGAGAGGGCGCAGGGCCTGCAGCAGAGCCCTCCTGGGCCCAGGAGCTATGAGGGGAGGGCGCTCACCTCTTGGCAAATCCCAGGAACTCCTGCAGCTCTCCCGGGGAGTAGATGTCCCCCAGAGGATTCTGGGGGTTGATGAGGATGAGGCCCTTGACCTTGACACCCTGAAACCATCCACAGGCAGAGACCTCAGCTCCTCCCCAAGGCCAGGCAGACCCACTAGATGGGGCTGATCCCTGGTGGCTCCCAGGGAACTGAGTGTCCTGGGGACATGGTCAGGACCCACATGAAGCACAGTAGGACACAGAATGAGAGGTGGCCTGTGTTGCAAAACTCGAGGGCACGGGTTTCAACTTTCAACTTTCCTACAGTGAACATGTGATCGCTCTAAGGACCAAGGTAAAATCACCCAAGCAGGCAGACGGTTGAAAAGTGGATTAAAAGGAGCCCCTAGAGAAGGGGGCCCTCTGCATTTCAATCCCCTCTAGTGAACAGGACCAGCCCCTCCACCTCTCAGGAGACTCACTAACCCACAGTCCCCTTGCTCCATACTTGACCCCTAGAAGCCGAGTCAGAGGCAGTGGGGAGAGGGGGGCACCTTCCACGAAGGTCCCGGGTTGATTCTCTACACAGAGGCATGAGGGTCTTGTTCTAATTGGCAGAACCTCCAGGTTCTGTGCTACCACACTACCATGTGTCCCCATCATGGCCACCAACCAGCTCTCAGGAGATGAGCCACAGGAAGTGGGGTCCATGCTGTGTCCAGACCCACCCACTCCCAGCCCTGGTTGGAACCATGTCCAGACCTCAGATTCAGCTCCTTGCAGGGCCGTCTCCAGCTTCTCCACCGTGAGCTGGAAGGGGCGTGTGTCCTGCCCAGTGACCTGGAAGAAGACCCACCAACGTCTCCAGCCAAATTCAGGGACCCCCCAACCCTGAGTTCTCAGGTCCCTCACTCCGCATTGCCTCAGATCAGTCCCTGGAAAACAGGTGGGGCCACTTCCTCTTCCGGTCCTCCACTCTACAAGTCACATCAGGGACACCTCTTGTGGCTCTCAGGTTTCTAGCAGAGGCCCGCAGGGGTCCTCTGGTAGGATCCCAGGGCTTCCATGTTAAGGTCTCTGTCCCCTGTCCACCACCTTTATATTGGTGGCTAGTTCTTGTCTTCTATGTGGACCCCAGGAATCTTAGAGCCTAGAGCAGGGGACCCTCCAGGACCCAGGCACAGGCAGCCATGTGGCAATGGAGGGCTCCAAGCCCTTTCCACAGCAGCTCCAGAGCCCTCGGCATGGACTTCCTCCCGTGCCCACCCACAATTCAGACCCAAGAAACCCCTGGCCAGGGGAAGGCCCAGGCCCACCTGGGACGCAGGAACTCTCACCTCACTGTCCAGATAGACATAGGCCAGTCGGACGTTGCCATAGAGGTAGATATGCTGTGTGATGGCTCCGTAGTAAGGGGTGGGGATCAGGAAAGCCTCTGGGGACAGGAACAGGCAGGACCTGTCATCCTCTGGCTGCAACACTCCTGACCCCCTGGGCATCCTGGAGGATCATCTGGAGCACGTGCCAGCTCAATTCCCAAAACTCTAAAGCTCAGGCCACTGACATTGGTCCCCTTCCTAATACAGATGCTCCTGTGCTTATGGGGGTTCTGTTCGGATAAGTCCACGTTAAGTCCAAAATGTCATTAAGTCAAAAGTACATTTAATCCATCCGACCTGCCAAACCTTGTAGTTTAGCCACATGGCCCATGTGTGGGGTCCATGATCTCATGGCTGCCTGGGAGCTGGGCTCACTCCACTGCCCAGCGTAGCAGAAAATACAGTAGCACATACCGCCAGCAAGGACAAGGACCCCAGTTCAAAATCTGAAGTACAGTTCCCACTGACTGTACACGCCTTCACACCATGGTCAAGGTGAAAACCCGTAAGTCAAGATCTTTTGCAATTAATGACTAACATTGCTGAGCACTTAGTGTGCTGGGGACTGTGCTGAACTTTTGTTGGGAAGGTCCATTTCTTTGATTATTCTAGAAAGGGTTGGCAATTGCCTATTATATTCTGACCAGGGATCTTCCTGGTGACTACCTCTTTCTCTATGACAGTTCCTTAACCTCTGGGCCTCAGGCTCCTCACCTATAGGATGGGTTTGCCATAGAACCAACCTCCCTGGAACACTGTGAGGTTAAATGAGATATTATGGATGTGTGGAGCCTTATGCCAAGGCCTGGAATGTAGTACGTGGCCAATAGACCCACGGCCATTACCAGTATTGGTTAAGCCATGGTGAACAGGCCTCTGTCCCCGGCAACAGAAACCCCTGACCAAGGCCAGGTCTTAAGACCACGGCTTGTGCAGCAGGCCTGGCTGGCTGCCTACTCAATGGTCATCCCAGTGTCCCTCCTTGCTAAGACACGAGGGGATGGCAGGCCTTCCCCAGCCGTCAGGGACAAACTAAGTTTAGTGTAAGCCAACCCTGGCTCTCTCCTCCCCTTTGCCCAACGACTGCTCTGGGAATGGGTTTCAGTCATTGTAGGTCAGTTCAAAGGGGCTCTGTGGAGACCCTTCTGGGAAGTGCTCCCTCCCACTCCCCTCCCCCGATGTGAAAGAGATGGCACCACGTAACCTCCTCCTGTTCCTCCTGCTCTGGGCCATGGTGTCACAGGAGGATGCAGAAAGCCCAGAGCCAGCTCCCTCTACCCTCCCCTGGTATGGCCACGCCCTGGGAGTCTCCTCAAGCCATTGATGTAAGACCTCTGTGGCCTCCCATATTCTATTCTAAGCACATTAGGGCAGCCCGTGAGGTCAGACAACTGGGGGTCCTGCCGTGTAGACCCCAGTTCAGAGCAGACCCTGAGTTCACTTACCCCCCACCTCGCACAGCACCGTGGCCAGAGCAGAGAAGATAGAGGCACAGCCATTCAGAACAACCACCTGGGGGTGACATAAAGGGACAGGATGACGGAGTTCCAAGAGGGAGTGAAAACCCATAACCTCTGTCCCAGTTCAGCACAGAAGAGAGTCAGGTTCCCCCTCAGCATCCTGAGGCTCTGTCTAGACAAACACCCTCCTCCCCTATAGCCAAAGTCATTTGAGGGGACCCTGCTCTGTATCACCTGAGGAAGAACCCAGGAGCTGGTCACTCAAGAGGGTCTTGCCAGAAGGTGAGGAGGCCAAGAGGGCTCACAGCACAATGTGGGGCAGAGATTCTACCCCAACTCTAAATATCTAGGGCCAGCTGAGTGCAATGGTGCACGTCTGCAATCCCAGCAACATGGGGGGCTGAGGCAGGAAGATCATAAGTTGAGGCCAGCCTCAGCAATTCAGTGAGACCCTAAGCAACTTTGCAAGCCCCTGTCTCGAAATAAAAATAATAAATAAAAAAGGGTAGGGATGTAGCTCCTTGATAAAGCACCCCTGGGATCAATCCCCAATACCAAAACATAAAAATTTTAAAAATGCATCTAGGGTCAGGGGTCAAGAAGGGAGCAGGCATTGCTTATTCTATTGTGAACCAAATCAAGATTGACGGCTGGGCTGGGGCTGGGGCTGAATGGTAGAGCACTTGCCCAGCATGCATGAGGCACTGGGTTCTATCCCCAGTGCCACCTAAAAATAAATAAATTTTTAAAAAAAGGTATTGTGTCCATCTACTACTAAAAAACATTTTTTAAAAAACAGGCTGATCCCAACCCACCTCGCTGTTGGCCAGCCAAAAGTGGGAGCACAGCAAAAGGGCAGGAACGAGCAGAGGAGGGGGATACTCACATTCTCTGCTTTGAGGGGTGCTGGGCTCTTGCAGTAGTAAGACAGGAACTTAGCCACTTCCTCCCGGAGGCTAGAGATCAGACACACAGATAGGCCCTGCTTACCAGAAGGTCCTCAACCCACAGGCCACCCCGAAGCTCCTCTGGGGAATTCTCAGGCCCCTGCCATTACTTTCCCCTCATTTCCCACATGGGCATTATGCTCTGCACCTGTCCTCACTCCCAGGTCCCTCCCACATGTGCTGAGTTTTCTTTCCCTGTAGTTCTACATTTATCCTACACCCAGATGTTATTTTGAGAACACAACACTATAATTATTGATATTTCCATTTTACAGACAAAGAAACAGGTTTAGCCACTGTAATCCCAGAAACTCAGGAGGCTGAGGCAGGATGATTTCAAATTCAAGGCCAGCTTCAGCAATTTAGTGAAATCCTCAGCAATTTGGTGAGACCTTGTCTCAGAATAAAATATAAAAAGGACTGGGGATGTAGCTCAATGGTAAAGGGTCACTGGGTTCAATCCCCAGCACAAAGCAGAACAGGTCTGAAGAAATCAAGACACTTGCTGGTAAGTACAGAACACAAGCCCAAGCCCAGCGGCCTGTCTCCAGGGCTCACCATCCTAATCACTGTTTAAAAGGAGCTTTGGAATCAGTCTTGGGATCAAGTCCTTGGCCACTGAACCCCTCTTCTCTGGTCCCTGGTGTCTCTCAGGCAGTAGAGCCAAGCATCAGTGTTGTCCATCACTTCCTCTCTTAGGGCTAGGAAAAGCCCAGCCAGCTCCCCGATATGGGATCAAGACTGAGGAGTCAGCACCCTGCTCCCTCTCCTGGCACTGTCTGCACAAGCCACACACCTCCCCCCCCCCTTTTTTTTTGGTGGCAATGTTGTATGAAGGGAACTTGACCAGAGTTCAAATTTCTGTGTTTGGTCTCAGCTCTGCCACTGAATGGCTGTGGGACCTTAGCAGAGTCACCTCACAGAGACATGGGATCTGGCTTCTATCAGCTACTGAGAAGAAGAACAGACTCCTCACCCAAAGGCCCTGCCTGTACGTCAGACCCAGGTTCATGGAAACCAAACTGGGAGCTCCTGAGCCGGGCGGGGACAGGCAGGGAACCCCAGGATCAAGGCCTCCAGGACTCGGCCACGCCTGATATTTGGAGCTGGACAATTCTCTGTTGGGGAAGCTGTCCTGTGCAGACAGCATCTCTGGCCACTAACACTGAAGGCCAGGAGCATCTCCACCTCCAAGTTAGGACCCTCCAACCTGTGTCCAGGCCTTGCCCAACGTCCCTGGGGGAGCAAAACCGCCCATGTTGAGATCCACTGTCCCACAGCAGTACTTACAACAGGTGCCCCCTCCAGTCAGGGTACTGCAGCAGGGGCGGCTCCACCCGCAGCATGTCACTCTGAGTCAGCTGGGGACAAAGAGGAGAGGGACGGGCTGAGGGATCCATTGCCTCCTGCTTCCACACGGCAGCAGGTCCCAGAGAAACCCCAGAGCACCAGCATGTCCCATGCCCATTTTGCAGATGAGGAGATTGAGTGTCAAAAAAGTGAGGTGACTCTGCCAAGGTCCCACAGCCATTCAGTGACACAGCTGAGACCGAAACCCAGAAATTTGGACTCTGGTCGAGTGCTCTTCATGCAACATTGCCACCAAAAAAAAAAAAAAAGGTGTGGCTTGCACAGACAGTGCCAGAAGAGGGAGCAGGGTGCTGTCACCTGGGTCTTGGCTCCAACTTCTAGAAGGACTCAAGACCACTTGTTCTCTGGCAGGTTTGGCTTAGTATCACGCTGTGGAAAAGATGGCAATTTCTGGACCATCACCTCCGTGACCAGGTGCTGGGTTAGACCTCTAGGGCATCACAGGCCAAATGTCAAAGAAAGGACTAATAACGCAGGGTCCTTGGGTGGTGGGACCAGAGGAATGGGAATCAGCCACGTGTCCAGCCATTTCCCTCCTCCTGTCATCCCTCAGAGCTGGTCCAACATGGTCCCCATGGCCCACTGTGGCTTCTGAACTCTTGATACGTGGTGAGTCTAAATGGAGACACTGGATTTTGAAAACTTACTATGAGGAAGTATGTAAACTATATTGACAGCTGTTATATCGATTACATGGTGAAATTTTACCAAGCTTTCTTTTAACTTTCTAACAGAAAATTTCAAATTACATATGTGACTCTCTTTTTCAGTGCTGAGCTGTCTCAGGAAGAGCTGGCTTTAGGGAAAACCAGCTTTGAAGACCCTCCCTACAACCCAGCCCCTGGGGCTTGGATTTTTCTCCTTTGGAAAGCTGTCTTCTGGGGGAAGCATCGCTGCCTCTACAAACCCAAGCTCCAACTGGAGACCCCCTGCGCAAGGAACTGGATTATGAAATCCAGGAACTTTCCAGATTTCCAGGAATCTGAAAGCTATGTTGGAATCAGTCATTCTTTTTTTAAGTTGTAGATGGACACAATACTTTTATTTATTTTTATGTGGTGCTAAGGGTCAAACCCAGAGCCTCACACGGGCAAGGTCCATGCTCTACCACAGAGCCACAACTCCAGCCCGGAAACAGTCTTTTGAGAAATAATTTAATATAGACCAAGCAAAGAATAAAAGCAAGGGAATGAGGACGTGAACATAGTCACTTCCCGCTTGTCCTGCACTGTGCTGCCACCCCACTCTTGGGGTCACGTTCCATATGGTGGGAATACAAATGAGCTTGGGCCACCATATCTCTCTTCCAATCCTGCTGAGCCAGGATGGCACACCTGGAGCTTGAAATTGGTAATGGAAATTGCCAAAGTCATGAATCAGGACTTTGGGTTCCCCTGAAGGGCACAGTGGCACACGCCTCTAATCGGGAGGCTGAGGCAGGATTGAGAGTTCAAGGCCAGCCTCAGAAACTCATCAAGGTCCTAAGCAACTCAGGGAGACTTTGTCTCTAAATAAAATATAAAAAGGGCTGGGGATGTGGCTCAGTGGTGAAGTACCCCTGGGTTCAATCCCTGGTACAAAAAAAAAAAGGATGGCACTGAGTCCCCTGGAGTGAGGGACCCAACACAGCAGGAGGGACCAAAGGGGCAGAGCCTGAACTGATGAAGGATCAGGATCACAGGGAAGTGATGGGCCTAGATCACCCAGAAAGTGGTTCCCAAGGCAACTGGGGTCCCCTGACTCCCTGGCCAGGCCAAGAGCCCACAGCAGGTCCTTTAGGGACAAGTGTTCCAAAGAAGGGATCCCCTGGACTCACCCGCCTGGACAGCAGGTCAAAGCAGAGTTTGTTCTCACTGGTGCCCAAGTTAATGACGCCCTGGAGACGAGAGGAACGGGGCCACGTGAGCTTGGCAGAGGAGTGCCCGCGAAAGGAGCCCACAGGGTCAGCAAACGGGGAGCTCTGCCACCCTGCCCTCCTGCCACCCCTCCTGGTCTCACTCCAGCCCTGCCCCCCTTGGCCTCAGGCTCTCTCTTCTCATTTCTAAAGTTCTGCTCAAATGCCATCTCCTCCAGGTAGCCTGCCCCCCAATCCCACCTAGAAGGGCTTTTTCTTCTCTGGGGTTCCATGGCTCTTAATCTGTCACCCCTCTAGAGCACTGCTGACTTTTTGCTCCAGGCCATGGGGACAGAAGTCCATACTCTACTCCCCTGCTGCAGGCGAACTCCCCAAAGGCAGATGCACACCCAGGACCTTACAGTATCTCTCAGGAGCTTAGCAGGAATCCATACATGTTTACAGGATGAAAGAATGTACACAGAGAACTATGTTCTCCAGGAACAGAAACCAGGTGGAGGTCAATAAGAATGAGCCCTCGGCCACATGCAGTGGCACACACCTGTAATCCCAGCAGCTTCGGAGGGTGAGGCAGGAAGATCATGGTTCATAACCAGCCTCAACAACTTAGAGAGGCCCTAAGCAACTTAGTGAGACCCTGTCTCTAAATAAAAACACAAAAAAGGGCTGGGGATATGGCTCAGTGGTTAAGCACCCCTAAGCTCAATCCCCGTACCCCCCCCTCAAAAAATGAGCCCTCATAGGCTGGGGATGTAGCCTGGGTTCAGTCCCCAGTATCCTCCCCACAGATAAAGAACGGCCTCGTGTCAGTGTAAATGTTCCCCCTGGAGACCCAGCCAACACCTGATCCCTACCCCAGAAGGCCTTTATTCTCATAGGAGAGATATGATGCAAGGCCCAGCCCAAGCTCTCCCTTAGAGTCCCCAGAGACGCAGTGCTGCCCCCCACCCCGCTGACTCCTGACCTCCAAATTAAGAGGGGCAATGGGAGTAAAGGAAGACGGAAAGATGAAAAAATAGACCTGGAATGAGCAGAGATAAAGACACATAAAAGGCCGTGATCTCCCCCTGAGGGACAAACAGCCAATGCACCTGCAAACCCTGACAGCTCTGCCTTCCAAATACCCACAGTCCACCCGATGCCAAGCTCCACTGCAGAGATCCTGGCCCAACCCCATCACCATGCCAGCTTCTCCACTTCCTGTCCTCCCCACTCCCTCACCTATTGTCCAGGCTCATGCACAGTCCAAGGCATCTCTTAAAAACAGAAATCAGGCCATATCGCATCTCCCTGCAACACCTCCTCGCCCACTTGATCCAAAATGAGAAGGCTCGCAGTGGCCCCTGACACCCATGGGACCTATTACCACACCACCTCATGACCTTCAAACCTCACAGCTTCATTGCAGACCAATGTTCCCTTTTCTGTCCCTTGGTTCATCCAGCATGGTTCCACCCTGGGCTCTTCCCCAGGTACAACATGGCTCACTCCTGTTTGGTGAGCAGCCTCTACAGTGGCTCCCAGGGATCCCCACATCCTGCTATTCACACCCTCGAATGTGGGCTGGACCTAGCGACTCATTTCTGATGACCAAAATAAAACTTGCAGACGTGATGGGATGTCACTTCTGAGACTGGGTACTACAGAGTCTGTGGCTTCATCTTGGGAACACCTGGCCTCATTCTCCTGGTCATTTGCCCTGGAAAAACAGCTGCCAGGTAGGAAGTGGGCTGGTGGGAAAGCCCCTGTGGAGGGAAATGAGGCCCTCCAGTCACCAGGTGAGTTAGCTTGGAAATGGCGCCTCCCCACCCTCTCCCTCTCTCTCCCCCGGGAGATGTCCCCAGCTTCAGGGCAACTCCACAGAAGATCCTGACTGTGAGGCACCCACCAGGATTCCAGAAACTGAGACTCTTCCCACCTGAATTTCTGAGATTTGAAGGAATTTGTTACAGCAATTGATGGCTAACACCACCTCTCACCCTTTTTTTTTGGGGGGGGGGGTTTCTGTCCAAATGTCACCTCATTAAAGTAGCTTTCTGTGACCATTTTATTGAATAGCAACATTACCACCATTCTCTATCCACTTCACCTGCCTTATTTTTCTCTACAGCTATTATAACCTTATATTATATAGACATGCTTTTGTCTGTTCGCTGTCTCCCACCCAGAACATAAATGCATACTGTTAAAATGTTAAAATGCCAGCACCTACAAGAGCGGCTGGTACCTGGGTGCTGCTGAAGAAATAAAGATTATTAAAGGGTAATTTGTGCAGCTCTCTGATCTGTGAAGGTATCACTAACAGTAGTTAGTAATACCTCATAATAATTGGGCAGATAATATCAATATAATAGCAGCAACATTTATTCCCTGTACCCCAGAGCAAGCCCTGGGCTAATCCCATCATAAATCCCATTTAATCTCCACTCTTCTGCAGCAGGTATAATTACCCCATTGTGGAGATGAGCAGAGATTGAAAGAAATGAAACCATCGTGCACTGAACCCCAGCTCTGTCCTAGCTCCAGAGTTGAAGGGGTGGGGACAGCTGGGGGAGGGGTAGAACACTTGCCTGGCAGGAGGAAGAGTTTGATCCTAACCCCAGCCCCACAAAAAGAAAACAAAATCAAGGTGAATAGTTGTCAGGCTATCCACGCAGGAACACTCTACAGCTCTTGAACTCTTCCTTCACAAGTCCGTGTCCACTTAATTATAAATAGGGGGTCACTATAAAAGGCCCCTGCTTGTGGGCCTCTAGGACCTCCATCAGAAGACCTCCTGGAGGCAGAGGACCGTGATTTTACCCTACAGGTGCCAGCTGGGTCCTGTCCTACAGGTCAAGGAAGGTACCCGCCCCACAGTTCCCTCTTGGGCCCGGGAAGGGCTTTGCTCACATTGGGGTTCTTGTCCTCATCATACTCATCCCTGTGGTAGGTCCTGTAGCCCTCCTCAGCCGAGTCCCAGAACCATTTGATGACCCGGCCTCTGGAGGACAGGCAGGAGCTGGCAGAGGAGAACATGGCGATGGGATCACCAACTCCACAGAGCTCCGGCCGCTTCAGCTCTGCTCTTCTGGAGCATTCTCCTTCCACGTCACCCCGACAGTATCGGCCCATGTCCTGTGGGGAGGCCGAGCCCAGACAGGTGGCAGGCTCCCTGCATTCCTTCTGAGGAAGGGGGAACATCTGCAAAAGACAGAAGCTGCTCAGTGCCCAGGGCTGCTCAAGGCCCTGGGGAGCACCACCCAGAAAAGCAGTCAGGCACCATCCCCGCTCATCCCAGCCCCACCTCACTTTATTTTGCAACAGGGTTTCCCTGTGTTGCCCAGGCTGGCCTCAATGATCCTCCTGCCTCCACCCACTGGCCATCTGCCCCTTCCTTTAAGTTCATGCACTCACCACTTCCTGTGTCCCTAACTAGCTGCAACCATAGGTGCCACCACTTCAAGGAGCAAAATCTCTTAAGGACACGTAGTGAGCCAGGGCCTGTGCTGGCTACATCTGAGTCATTTCAATAGATTGCCGCTTTGGCTCATTTCATTTCTGCATATGTTTTTCCTTGACCAGCCTAAGGGGTCGCCAGTGATCTTTTCCCATCCTTGCTTATCTCAATTTCAAAATTGTAGGTTAAGCTGGGTGCAGTGGCACAGTCCTGTCATCCCAGTGGCCCAGGAAGCTGAGGCAGGAGGATCACAGGTTCAAAATCAGCCTCAGCATCTTAGTGAGGCCCTCAGAACTGAATGAGACCCTGTCCCAAAGTAAAAAATGAAAAGAGCTGGGGATGTGACTCAGCGGTTACAAGCCCCTGAGTTCAATCCCTCCTCACAAAATCATCATCATCATCATCATCATCATCATCATCATCCTGGTTAAAATTCTCCACACACATCACTGCCAGGGAGTCCTAGATGTCCTGTGGTGGAAAGGGTAGGATGGGATTACTCGGTGTGTGGAGCAGATGGTGATGGGAACTGAGGGGAAGGAGGGGTAGGAGTCTCCAACAAGTGCAGAGAGCCCAGGTCCAGGTCTTCATGCTGGAAGCAGGAAGGGGCACCAGGAAAGGGTCCTCCTGCCAGCAGAGGTGAGCGCCTCCACTTCTCTGAGCCAGTTTCATCTGCACAGTGGGTGTACCAGCAGCCACCTCACTGGACACCAGTGAGGATGTCAGGTGATCAAGATCTTAGACCAAATCCTGGCTCAAGGCCACCGTTCTATAGAATATGGATCCTTATATAATAGTCCTCACCTATGTTCCCGTCCTAAAGTATAAGCCTCCTGACACCAAATGACGGGTGATCCGTGGGCAACCCAGAAACCATGGTGTCCTCCGTGGTTTAATTTTGGTTTGGGAACGATGTCTTCTCGGGCTCCTCCCCCAGTTGGCAGGGCTCACGGAGGAGCTTCCCTAGACCAGACAACCGGGTCTGAGGAAGGGCAGCGCTGTGGGTGGTGGTCTGGTCAGCTGCACAGCCTGGGGCCTGGGGCCGCCGGTTTTCCTGTCCCAGCCGTCCTGGAGCGCAGGGCCGGTTCTCCGCGTCCAGCGAGTCCCAGGACAGACTGTGATCACCCGCGCGGGATCAGCTCTCGGAACCCCTCTGGTAGGGCGCCCTGCAGGGCGGGGGCGGCCGCGGCTTTTCCGGGAAGAGGAAGCGCGACCAGTGCCCAGGGCTTCAGCGCCAAGCGCTGAGGCTGAAAAGTGCCCAGAGGCCCCGCCGCGTCCTCCTCTGCCAAGCGGCGGGTCGCACCTACTTGGAGACCGGCGCTGGCGCGGGGCGGACTCGCGATCCGTGTCCGTTTGCTTTGCGGGGAAAACGCCCTCCCGAGCTTCCCGCGCGGGGAAGACGGCTGCGGGACTCGGGACCGAGACCCCGCGCCTGGGCCGGACTTCCGGGATTGCTCCGCGCAGCCCGCCCCCTCGCGACGCCGGCGGGAGGCACCCTCGGTGTGGCCTGAGCGGTGATGGCCGCACAGATGGGCCCTCCGCGGTGTCCGGGCCTCCCCCGCTCGGCTCTGTGGGGGGGAGAGGCTGAGGAGTAGCTGGACACCGGGAAGGGACAGACCTACTCCAGGAAGGGGCGGGCCGCCAACTCCCACCTCCGCCCTCGGTGGCCGCGCGCGCGACGCTGGAGCAGATCCATCCACGCTGGCACGTGGGGCGCCACCGCTGCTCCCAGAGGCGTTTAACGGCACAGAAGTTTCTTGGCAAATGTTGCGACCCACGAAACGTCCTCCCCAAACTATGGTAGGCGCATCATTAAAACCTCTTTCCTCCTGCGCCTCACAGCCTTGTGACAGATCTGTATGGGGTTTTCTTCAGCCCCCTTAGGTCCTTAGTTGGAACAGACTCTGGCTGAAAGAAAGGAAGAGAGGGAGGAAAAGAAGGAAGAAACGGAAGGAGGCAAAGAAGGTTGTTCAACAAGAGAAAAACAGAAGTTTGTTGACATTATACTTAACAGACAAACGCGAGCCACCCAAGGATTGCAACAAAAAACGGAATTTTAGAGACATGACAAGACAAAGGAAAAGGACTCTGAGTCTCTTTAAACTGCACTTTAGAAAAGGCAAAAAGAGAGAGAGGGCGTGGTGGGGGTGGATGAGAGATAAAACCCAGGGGCGCTTAACCACTGACCCACATCTCCAGCCCTGGCTTTTTAAAAATACCTATTGGTTGCAAATGGACACAATACCTTCATTTTTATTTATTTTTATGCGGTGCTGAGGATGGAACCCAATGCCTCCCTGCTAGGCAAGCACTCTACCACTGAGCCACAATCTCAGCCTACCCCAGCCCTTTTTTATATTTTATTTTGAGACAGTCTCACCGCCTTGCTTGGCAATCTCCCTAAGTTTCTGGGGCTGGCTTTGAACTCTCAGTCCTCTTGCCTGAGCCTCTGGGATTACAGGCATTCACCTCTGGTATAGTTAATGTAGATTCCTCTAGCACCATCTCTCAGCCAACGGGAGTTCACAGTGCCTGTAGTAATTACTGTCCTTCTCCCTGTAGAAGGGAGGGGGACCTTGTCTTTGTAAATCTGTGTCCTGCATTTAGGCAAATAGAGGGAGGGCAGCGAGCTCTCCAGCATCTGCTTCTTAAGGACTTCAGCCTGACAATCCATATTTTGAGGAGGCATATGCTGGCCTGCCACACGTGGATGCACTGTTTTGTGACCTCTACCTGAACCCTGAATACTCTGGCCCTGGGTGCATCAAGCAGGTAGAGTCACTCATCTCTGAGGGATTTCAACAGGAAAGTCTCTTTTCCTGTGAAAGAAATAAGCAGACTCCCTCCACCCAGGTGTGGCTGGGAACATCGTCATCTGGCCACTCCCTGCTTCACTTTGTCCTTGCCACTCAGTAACTTTGTGACCTTGTGCATGTCTCAAGAATTTTTGGCCCTCGGTCTTTTCTTCTATAGGATAAAGAAGTCACTTCCCTCCATGTAAAGACTTCTGTTTAATTCAGCTAAGGTGTCTTAATGAATGCCTGTTTTGTGGTAGATCTCTGCAAAATGCCCTCTATGGGCAAAGCAAACCGCAAGACTACCCACAGGACTGCAGTGAAGAGTGGGAAGACTATTTAAAAAGGGCAGGAACTGGGAGCGCTGGAGCACACCTGTAATCCCAGCGGCTGGGCAGGCCCAGGCAGGATTGCAAGTTCCAGACCCTGTCTCAAAATAAAAAGGTTGGGGATGTAGCTCAGTAGTAGATCACCCCCCCAAAAAAGGGACATGCATGTAGTCCCAGCACTTGGAAGGCTGAGGAAGGAGGATGACTGTGTCTAGGAGTTCAAGGCCAACCTGAGCAACATAGTAATAGCCCATCTCAAAAGGAGTGTGGTGGTGGGGGTTCTATAGACATAAGGGGTAGTTAACCCCACCCTTACAAACACTGGCATCGCACCCCACCCCGTACACACACCTTGCCTCTTAGGAAGAGATGGTTGGGTTCTGAAAGATGAGTCCTAGCACGATGGAGCCTGAGGTGTTGGAAGCAGAGGGGATGGTTTAAAGACGTCCGACATTAACACTGCAGCAAGTCCAATATTACTGGAGTTTTTGGAATTTGGTGGAAAGGCTAGAGATACAAACAGGAGGGAGACCATGAATCCCTGAAAATAATTCATGATAACGACTGTGGACTTCTCACTGAGGACAAAAGTGTGGAGAACTTTTAAAGTGCTTTTAATCACTGAAGAGTAAACAATAATGTGAGATATATATATATATTATATATATATATTATATATATATATATTATATATATATATTATATATAACATATATACATATATATTACATATATATGCATGTATGTGTGTGTATGTGTGTAATATATATAGATTTTTTTAACTTTTGTCAAATAACACAATCACAACAATTAACTTTTCCAAGCTGGAGAAAAAAAAAAAAACAGACTCAGAATCAGTTTCTCCTACAGTACACTCAACACAGAGCCTGGAGATAGCAGTGGACTCCCTGAGGTTGACCACTCACACCCATAAGTCTGTTCCCACTTCTGTCACCAGAAGTCTGAACTCATGGACCTTCAGATCAACTAGCTGTCACTTGGAGTTCCCTCGACCCCCACTTTATGCTTCGTTAATTTGCTAGAGCAACTCCAGAACTCAGGGAAATACATTTAACCACTTATTAGAAAGGATATTTGAAGAACTGGGCATGTGGCCGAGAGGTAGAGCCCTTGCCTAGCATGTGTGAGGCCCTGGGTTCAAACCCAGGACTGCAACAAGTAAAAATAAAAGGTGTTTCAAAGGATAAAAGTAAGTAACCAGATGAAGGGGTAAACAGGGGAAGGTCTGGAAGGGTCCTCAGAACAGGGGCCTGTGTGCCAGGGAGTTGGGGTGCATGACCCTCCCGGGATGTGGATGTGGTTTTATTCCTCCCCCTGTAAGCTTCCACATCTTCAGCTGGCCAGAAGCTTCCTGACCCCTCCCCTTATGGACACATCATTGTGGTGACACAACTGAAGCATGGACAATAAATCATGATAACGAGTGTGAGTGGACAGAAAAGGGCCTGATCTATGCTGATGGACATCTGGGACACCCAGCAAGGCCCGTGTGCAGGTTCCCCTTGGCCCCTCTGACAGCCTGCCTTCCTCGTGGTCGGTTGCAGTTCCTTTCTGAAATAGGGGTCTCATCACCTACTGTCAGACAAGGTAAGTCAGAGAATTTCCGTTCAGTCACTCTAAGACCCACAGGCAGGGGAATAGGAGTCTCCACTGCCCAGGCTGGAGAAGAGCAGTCTGGTTTCTACCGCCTGCCTTGGTCAAGGAGTTCTGAACCAGGGACCATGGATGAAAACCAAAGTATACTTCTTGGCTTTAGTTTCCATTCTAGAGTAGGGCAATAAGTCATTCCACAAAATTGAATAAGTGTTCTGATGACATGAGCAGAGGCAGCTACCTTTACAGACAGAGAGGGCTGAGGGGAGCAGCAACACACTAGGCTGAAAGGCAAGTTGGTCATTGCAGAGTTCCTTTATGTGTGTGGGGGGATTGGCAGAAAAATCGAAAACATTATGAACATCAGGTCACTTTAGTTTTATCATTTTTGTGAAAAGATGAAAGTCGAGGGAACTTAATTATCATTCCAGTTGAAAATGGCCTCTGGGAAAGTGGACTATCTTTAAAATCCTGGTTTCTGAGATGAACAGGTTAGTTTCAGCTTGGTGACTGGAACTTCAGCGTAAGTCCATTTTTATTTTTAACTAGGCCTCTCGGGCCCTAATGCAGGAGCTCAGTCCAAAATCAGGCCACTTGTCATTTTTTTTGAATTCTTTCACTTAACACAAACTGCTATGGCCACCTCAGGGCTCCACAGCCTGGCTAGACTTTGTGCAGAGGCATCAGCTTGTTACCTGCAGAGTCGGGATGGGTTTGTGTTCCTTGGAGTCGAAGAATGAACACCGCCCTGGAGGTAAGCAAGGAAGCAGGAATTTTATTAAAAAGGAAAGTGAGAGAAAGATCTAGAACTCCCTGAACAGAGCACCTGGGAGGGGCAAAGTGCCCTTTAAGTCTCGCATTGCTCCTCCTTTTCAAGGCACATAAGGAGAAGTCGATAAGTTCCTCTTTATTGGTTTTGGTATTGCAACTGTCCCACAGCCAGCATGGGCCGCATTATGGATGATGCAGTCACTTTGGGCAAGATGGAGACTTCCACCTTTCTAAGAAGCAGGAACTGTCTTATAACATGTTGCAGCAAGTTAAGATGCTGCCCTTGTGCTTGCCCTCTCATCAATCTGTACTATCCCTTCCTAGTCTCCAATGCCTAGCCTCTTTCATCTCAAGCTCAGTCTGGTCCCTTGAAATACATGTACTGTAAACCTTAGGGCAAACTTTCTTTTTAAATCAGAAGGACTAAGCAAAGCCATAGAGCCCATAATACTAAATAACACTTGGTTAATCTAAAAGAAAGGAGGAGAGAAAAAGAGCATGTGGCACCAACAGGAAACAGTCGATTGAAGCCAGTCATATCCATAATTACATTAAATGTGAATGGACTGAAGACCAACTGAAAGATCACCATGTCATCATCAAGAATCAAGAAGATGGCGTTTGCAAGAGACCTAGTTTATATTTAAAGACAAATAGCTAAAAGTAAAAATGGAAAAAATAGCAATAATGAAAAACGGAAGTGTTCATAGTAAGTGTGATGCAGGAGAGACTTCAAGACAAAAGAATTTCCCAAAATAAAAAGGAGCTTTTCATAATGATAAAATTGATACTGGTCTTGGAAAAATCAGGATTGGGTTCTTGTTCCCCTGGTGTTGAAGATTAAACACCCAAGAAATGCTGAGGCAAGTGTACGAAGCAAAGTTTATTTAAGAGAGAGAAGAGAGGAGAGAGAGAGGTAGAGAAAGACTTGGGGGGTGGGGGGACCCAAAGCTGGTGCCTGTGGGAGGGGGTATATGTTATTCCTTTCTAGATCTCAGTTTTCTTCCTATCTTGCCTCTATGACCAAGAGGCAGGAAAAGAGCTGCCCAGGGGTGCTCATTAGCAACTCCTCACGTTGGGAGGAGCAGTTCCTGGAGGTATAGGTAACTTTGGTAACTGGCCAAGAGGGTGGGAAGTGCTGTGGAGGTGTTAGCATTTCATTTCCTTGGCTTTGAATCAGCCTCATCTTCCCTAGGAATCATTCATTATCTATGCTGACTGTCTGTCCCTTGTCCCCATTTCTTTCCCCCCTCTGATTAAGGGAACCCTGACTGCTGTAAGGGGAAATGGGTGATGACCACTCTGGCTGCTTCAGGCTGAGAAGGGGTGACATGCGGTAAGCGGTTTAAATTTCTCTTTCAGGAATGTTTTGGTTTGGTCAAGAGGTCTCTGGTAAAAGTAGGGTTTGGAAAGAGCAGGTTGTAAAGTCTTCTGAGAGGCGGGTGTTCTAAGAAACAAGAAGCTGTGAGTGCTGGGTGAGATGAGTACAAAAATTTGAATGTGATGATAATTTTTTTTTTTTTTTTTACCAAGAGGTACAAGGGCTGAGAAGCTGTTTTCATGGCCATGCGGGGGTGGACGTGGCCTCTGTTTGGCTTGAAAATCTTTAAGGATATTAGTTATATTATCAGAGTTATCGGGAATGTAAACTCAACACTTAGTTTTTATAATATCACAAATGTCCCCATAAGATATAGTTAAGATATCTAACACCATGTGTTTGTGGGTTTTTTTTTTTTTTTTTCAGCCTGAATAAGACAGAAACAGCTTGGGCAGAACCCAACATGCCCGACCCAGTGGGGCCCTGCGTCCTTAGAAGGAGAAGTTTGAGCCCTAGGTTTGGCATGGCCACAATGAGGGAATTTCAAACTGTATATAAGAGAGTGGCTGCGGTTGGGTTTTGTCCATAAGAACAGAAAGCTCTTGGTGGTGACCTGTTGGACTCCCAGATAGTTAGCATGTTTGGTAGTGGCTGATGGTTGGTGGGTGGTGACTGGTGGCTGGTGGGTGGTGACTGGTGGCTCGTGGCTGGTGGGTGGTGACTGGTGGCTGGTGGGTGGTGACTGGTGGCTGGTGGCTGGTGGTTGTGGTCTTTGAATATTGTTTTCTTTTTCTTTCTTTCTTTATTTCCTTTTTTTTTTTTGCTTTTGTGTTTTGGGATTCTTTGGGGGGGGATATTTATTTTAGGTTATTATTATTTTTTTAGCTAGCATCCTAAGATGGTGTTCCATTTTAGGATAAGCAGTGAGAGTAGTAAGAGCAGCCTAGAGCCCCCAGGGCTGGGCTCCTATGAGCCTGCCTTCACAGACCATTATGAAGTTGTGCAGGGCATTGGGGAAGGGGGCTTCGCTACGGTGAAGCTTGCCCGCCATCGCCTGACTGGGACAGAGGTTGCAGTGAAGGCCTTGGCAAAAGTACTCTGGAACCTCCCCTTCCTATCTGAGCCAGATCTGATGGCGGGCTTGGACCACCCAAACGTGATCCAGCTCTTCCAGGTCATTGAGACCATCAACTATGTCTATGTTGTCATGGAATATGCAGGTAGGGGCAACCTACGGAAACTCATCGCGGAACCTGGTGGCATGCCGGAGGAGGAGGCCCGCAGGCTGTTCAGGCAGACCGCGCGGGCCGTGCAGTACTGCCACATCAAGGGCATCGTGCACCTGGACCTCAAGCCGGAGAACATGGCGCTGGATGACAGCGGCAACGTGAAACTCATCGACTTTGGCCTGAGCGACCGATTCACAGCTGGGCAGAAGCTGAACAGGTTCTGGGGCACTCTCCTCTACTTTGCCCCTGAAATCGTCCTGGGGGAGGCATACGAGGGCCCCCCTGCCGACGTCTGGAGCCTGGGTGTCATTCTCTACTTCATGCTCACGGGGAGACGCCCATTTATGGCCAGCACCGCTCAGCAGGTGAAGAAGCTGATCTTGGAGGGAACTTATGACACTCCCCTGAATGTTTCCGAGGGAGCCCAGAGCCTCATCCGTGAGATCCTGACGGTGGACCCCACCCAGAGGCCCACCCTAGAGCAGGTAACGAGGCACCCGTGGCTGAGCCAGGGTGAGGCAGCATCGCCCAGTCCTTCTGTCCAGGCGCTCCCTGAACTCCCAGATCCCTCAATTATAGCAACCATGGTCAACATGGGTTACGACCCCTTTAACACCTGGATGTCCCTGGCCAAGAAAAAGTATGACAATGCGATGGCCACGTACCTCCTGCTCAAACACCAGAGAATCCAGGGGGCGGGCTGCAAGCACCAGGTGAAGCGTGTGAGTCATGGGGGGGTCTGGCCTCCCCTGGGCCCTGTGGATCCCCCCTGGGTCCTCCCCAAGAAGCATTCCAGTGAGCCTGCCCTTCCTTCACCCCGTGAGCAGCTGCAGCAGCCTGGGGAGGCCAAGCAGACCCAGCACAAGGGTGGTGGCAGTGCCAGCGTGCCTGCCATCCGGCTGCACTTCCTCAACATGGACACACCCCCTCCCAGCCTCACCTCCCAGCCCCACTGTGTGCCCAGCTTGCCCAAGCCCTCCATGAGCCTCAGTAGGAGGGCCCCAGAAGAGGACAGCTCATCCTCCCAAGGGACCCCTGAGACAGGGCAATCCCACCACCAAGTCAGGGGTTGGAAGAGGGTGAGGAGGAGCATCGTCACCTGCACCCAGCAGCTGTGCTGTGTACCATGCTTCAGTTGCTCAGCGATCAGGAGCACAGTGGCTCCAACGGACCTTCCGAGCCAAGACAGAACCAACAGAACCGACAGACAGCCAGAACACCTCAGTGCCACCTGGCCCCGGCTTCCCCGCCCGGGTCCCAGACAGGCAGGAGCACCTCTGCATCCACCAGGAGTCTCCTCTGCCCCTATCTGTGAAGACACATCATAGAGACTTTTCCCTGGGACTCTTCCCCTGCCCTGCCCTTTGTCGTTTCTCCCATGCTTTGGGAGAAATTTATTTTTAATTTCTTTTTTTCACAAATTGTCTAATAAAATTGATGTTTTAAATATTTTTAAAAAGGTAGTTTTGTTTGTTTGTTGTTTTTAAGAGGGAGGCTTCAGGACAAAGGCCTAAGCCCAGCAGCCATCCTCTCCTCTCACTTGCCTTGAGCCAACGGCGATGGGGACTTGCTCTCCTTGACCTAATGTAGACGGAGATTCTCCTCTTGAGCCAGTGTAGACTTGATTCACTTTGAGCTGGTCGCCTTAGACAGAAGGAATCCTTTTCCGGGTCTTCAGGCCCTTCCCTGCAGTGTGGGGAGGGTGGGTTGCAGCTGTTGGAGAGGACACCTGTGGCAAGGCGCTGGAGAGTCCAGAGTGTTCTGTGGACTCTCTGGCTACGATCCCATGTGCAGGGAGCAGAACTGGGCCAGTGGGCAGGGGTGGGCCTGTCTGCAGTGGGGGCTGGGTGCCTAGCCAAGAGCTCCTTGGGTCACAGCTAAAGGTCATGGAGAGGGAACTCATGGGATTCAGGGAGCAGAGACAGGGATGCTACTTAGGTAAAAGCATGGTGCACCTGAGTGGAATGGCTCTTATCTTTGGGGTCTGTTGACAGTGAATTCTGTAAAGTGAAGTGCACACAAATAACAAGTCAGCGACGCTCAGGTTAGGACAGGGGGCTTCGAGCACCTTCCAGCCCCAGATCTCTGCGCTCTGGACGCCCACGGCTGCTCTGGCAGCTCTTCCCGCCCTTCCCTGCAGCGGTCAGAACTTGATACCGCTAACAAAACGGTGTCCTGTGTGTCACCTTAACACTCTCCCCGTTTTCACCTTGAGACAAGAAGAAAATTTTAATGTACAAATACTCTCTCATGCTGGTTTTTTTTTTTAAGATTTCTTTTTTAGTTGTAGATGGACACAATACCTTTGTTTTGTTTATTTTTTTAATGTGGTGCTGAGGATCGAAGCCAGTGCCTCATGCATGCCAGGTGAGCGCTCTACCAATGAGCCACAACCCCAGCCCCTTCTCATGCTGTTTAAACCATATATATTATTTTGTAAGAGTAGGAAAGAAGAGAATCAGTATTATCAGGTTCATATATGATAGATTTTCTCCAATATATCCAGAAAGTTGCTCTCAATCTATAATAAATATAGCTTCTAGAATTTTAATTTTTGTAGCATTTTAATAATGATTTGGGCTGGACACATCTTAATTTAACTCCAAGTTTTAGAGTCCAATTTGTTAAAACTTTAGTCCTATAACAACACGGCTCCATGAAGAAATGCTTCCAAGGATCTTCTGAGTAGTTGGCAAGAGGGCAGCCCTATCGCGGGCCATGTGCTATTTTGGTAGAAAATGCCATGTGCTTATCAAGCCCTTGATCACACAAATGGCAATTAAACTCTAAAACTGGTAAAAGGTCTTGTTTGCTGAGAATTCCTTGTTAACACTGAAGACCCCGGAAGCTACTCCGCTGAGTCCAAATCCCTGCTTTACCCTCCTTGTGCCTCATTTTCACAAATGTGAAAGGTGGGCAGCAGTAGGTCCCTTTGACAAGACCAAAGGCTCAACTGAAGTTCAGAGTCGGATATTGTCCTAGACCATGCTGGACACTGTCCCACACATGTTCATGCCTGTGTAACCTAATGAAGAAACTAACTTCCATGATTACATCGCTTTCAAAGTAAGGCCTGGTTTGGGGAAAGTGTTGAGTTCAACCAAGGCCACCTTCACTTTATGTGATGAAATTTCCTTCCTGACCTGTCCCAAGTCCTAAACATAGGGTCACGTTCGTCTGATCAGAATCACTAGGAGTTAAGAAGATGTGAAGTATTTGAATCACCAAGGGGAGTTCTTCAAAGGCATTTGGTGGAATGAACATGAAGTTGTATAAAAGATGTATACATGCTGCAAAAACGGACTGAAATATTCTGAGTATATCAGGAGAAGAAAAGGACAGAAGGTGTGTTTAGGATGCAAATTCAGAAAAACACACACAGCAAGGGTCAGATTGCAGCTTGTATGGGTTCTGGGGTGTCGATCTATCTAGTGGCTTTGGTCCTGAGCCCATGTAGTGCTGCACCCAGGAGAGAGCCTTCCACCTCCTTGGAGAAGGTGGACACAGCGGAGGGGCAGCCTGGGAACATCAGTGGCTCAGCATCCTTCTTCCTTGCACTTGTGACTGGGAGTGAGAAGCAGGTGCAGCTCCTTGCTCCTGTGATATCACTGTAGCCTTTTTGGTAAGTTTTAAAGTGGATGCCACACAGCTACCTTCAGGTGTCACTGGCCATCCCGTGTGTACGATGAGCGTCCATCTTCAAAGACAGAGGCACGAGTTCTGCCATGATGGATAAACCCTACCTACTCCAAGTGCTTCTTAGGCCACTCCTCGTAGGACACCATATTTTCTGTTGATTCACTTCTATTCCATCTGCTCAAGCTTCAAATTTGGGTTCCTTAAAATACCCAGTTACTCCAAGTTGCTCTATGACTAAGTAAGCTTAGAAAATTCTACGTAGATTCCTTTCTTGGAGAATTGTCATTTACATCACTGTTCAGACTATCAGCATTTTCCAAACTCATCTGTCACCATGTAAAACTAGTGGATAGTTAGCAATACTAATATTGGGATACTTGATACTTAAGTTGAGGATTGTTATGTTGATTAAAAACAGAGAATACATATAGTTTCTCATGCATAAAACATAATCAGGGCTCAATAAATGCAGAGTGATTATTACTAAGCCTGGCTAACGGCCCTGCTGTATTCTGAGCATCCCACACAAAAGCTCCTCACATTCATCAGATGAATGCAAAATGAAACAGAGTAAAATCTGTGTACCTCCCAGGGCTTAAGTTGAAGAGATCGTCCACACCAGATGCTGTCAAGAGAGTAAAATGTCCAGACCTCGTGTATGTTGCTGGTGGGAAGGTAAAATGGTACAACCACTTTGGGTATCTCTTTGTTGATTTTTTTTTTTATGAAATTAAATCCACATTTACCTATGTTCCAAAAATTGTCCTCCTAGGTGTTTACCTGAGAGAAGTGGAAATTTATAACTTCAAATACGTTGTGCACAAATATTTGTAACTTTTATTCCTGTAGTCAAAACCCAGAAAAAAAAAACAAATGTCGGGGCTGGGGTTGTAGCTCAGGTGTAGAGCGCTCGCCTAGCATGTGCAAGGCCCTGGGTTTGATCCTCAGCACCACATAAAAATAAGTAAATAAAATAAAGGCATTGTGTCCAACCACATATAAAAAATATTTAAAAAAAAAAAACAAATGTCCATCAATGGTAAATGGATACATTGCAACATTTATCTGATAGGCTACACCGCAGCAATGAAGCAGAATGAACCACTAATACATATGACAACGTGGCTGAATATCATGTTGAATAAACAAAACTCCATACACAAGACACGCCTCTATGATTCCATGTACATGGAGTTCTGAACCTGGCAGGATTAATCCCTGGGAGCATATGAGGCAGGGATTGGCCAGGGGTGTAAGAAAGAGTTTCCTGGAGTTCTCTACCTTGATTAGGGCATGGGTTACTTGAGTATAAATTTTAAAACTTAAGTGGATGCTTCAGATGTATGCATTCTAGCTGGGCATTGTAGCACATGCCTATGATCCCAGTGACTTGGGAGGCTGAGGCAGGAGGATTGCAAGTTCAAGGCCAGCCTCAGAATTTAGCAAGGCCCTCAACATCTAAGTGAGACCCTGTCTTTAAATAAAAAATAAAACGGACGGGGGATGTAGCTTCATGGTAAAGCATCCCTGCATTCAATCTCCCGTACCAAAAAAAAAAAAAAAAAAAAAGATATATTCATTCTCACACATATTCTATTATATAAAGTATAACTTGATTTTTTGTTCCACTAAAAGAGCTTTTTATCACCTGTGTAGTCACTTTCTGGGATGCTTTTGCTTCCACCTGACTTGGATCATCCTAACTTACTTTGAGTCAAAGTCAGGACCTCTGGCATTGTATCTGCAAATGTGTCTCAGAGCTCTTGACCCCATAAACATGTACAGTATCTGCATGTCAGATCTTCTGGTACCTTGTCTGGTACCTCCTCAACTTCACAGAGGTACCTTCTGATACTTCTCTACTTCACAGAGCATGCACGAATTCTCCTGCATGGGAGCCCTTTGGGGTTACCTCACCAACCTGGGAAAACCCCCAACACCACCTTCAACCCTGAGAAACATGGATTTGTTGTTTTTCCACCCTTCTCCTGGTAAAAAACGGAATGCTGCTTAGAATTCTCCTCTTGTGCTGTGTCTCATTTGTTTACTCCAGCCTGTGGCCCACACTTGGCTTGACATTCTCCATCTGAATCTTGAAGAGACGATAGAAACAGCCTTTCCTCCAGAGCAAGGCACGATCCTTCCATCCAGTGCCAACGAGACTGTCTATTAGCTCCACTACGGAGGTCCCCAGAGCATCCCTGGTTTCCACGAGCTCCAGCAGCCTTCCAGGGAACGCCCTTTGTTTCCACGAGCCATAACTGGTTTCTGAACCTGTCTGGTGTGAAACACCTTGAAGAGCCAGGAATTGGTTGGTCGACTTCTTCTTGTGAATTAAAATAAACTGGTGGAAGAAAATTGTCTTTGGAAAATAAGAATCAAATTTGGACCTAGGGGTGGGCCAGGAGAGTCACAAATCCAAGTGACCGACAAAAGCCATCAGTTGGTACTGAAAGCATTTTCATTCACTTTAAAATAGTAGCAGCCCCTGCTCAGCCACTCCCCAGCCTCAGTACTCAGGTACACAGGGCTTTGCAGAGAACTCAGAGGTGGGTGTGACTTGAACAGCTCAAAAGTCTAAAGATGGAAATGGAAGACCCCAGGTGCTAGAGACTGAATATCTTCCCTAGAAATTCATGTTGAAATCCTCACCCCAAGATGATGATAGGAGGTGGGGCCGATGGTAAGTGATTATGTCTTGAAGGCAAAGGGAGACCCCTCATCCTTTCTGCCACATGAAGTTACAAAAAGAAGATGGGTCCTCAACAGATACTATATCTGCTAGGTCCTCCATCTTGGACTTGCCAGCCTTCAGAACTA